GGATGGATGGATGGATGGATGGATGGATGGATGGATGGATGGATGGATGGATGGATGGATGGATGGATGGATGGATGAAAAGATAAACAGATGATTGGATGGATGGATGTATGGATGGATGGATGGATGTATGGATGGATGGATGGATGGATGGATGGATGGATGGATGGATGGATAGATGGATGAAAAGATAAACAGATGGATGGATGAATGGATGGATGGATGGATGGATGGATAAAAGGATGAATGCATAAAAGGATGGATGGATAAAAGGATGGATGGATGGATAGATGGATGAAAAGATAAACAGATGTATAGATGGATGGATGGATGGATGGATGGATGGATGGATGGATGGATGGATGGATGGATGGATCATTGTTACTTTATACTTACCTGCATGGTTCCAAACCCTGGTGCTCCTCATGCTCGTTGTCTGTTCATAAACCTCAGTGTTTCTTTAGTTTCTTGAGTTGAAACTTGTGTTTCTGTCTTTCAGTTTGAAACAGTGACTGATGGTGATGATGCTGACGCCCGGCAGCCTGCAGTCTGTCACACAGTCAGTCGCAGGTACAGCGAGTTCCTCAACCTGCAGGCACGTTTGGAGGAGAGGCCTGACATCAAGAAACTAATCAAGAGTAAGAACTAATCCTCTGTAGATTAAAATAGTCTACAACAGATTCATCAATCTTTGTGTTTTGCATTTCAGATGTCAAAAGTCCAAAGAAAATATTCCCCGACCTCTCGTTTGGCAGTCCGGACAGTGAGAAGGTTGAAGCCCGTAAAAGCCAGCTGAGTGCTTTTCTAAAGGTAGGTTTCAGGATTTTAAATTCAGTTTTCATTTTGAACCACATGAATTTTTATATGAATTTTTTTATATATATTTATGTAGCAGTTAAGCAGCATTCCTGAGATTGCCAGCTGTGATGACATGCAGGAGTTCCTTGCCATCAACTCAGACATTTGCACTTATTTTGGGAGAAAACCTTTGAGCAAGTCAAGAATTGATAAGGTAATCAAATCAAATGAAACTATAGGCAGGACTTAAAGTTGGGCTAAAGTTTAAACAGGAAGCTTGATGTGGAGCTACATTTCAGTCATGTCTGTCTTATGAATGTCACGTTTTCTGTAACTGCTGAAGATGATGGAAAATGCTCTGGGCACTTTGAGGACAGCTTTTCCTCATCCTGAGCCCCTCAGTCCAGTGGAGGACATTGAAGGAGATGCTGATGGAAGAACAATGGACTACAGAAAGTACAGGTGGATAGTTAAAAACTGACTTTAAAATATATGCAGTTTGATTTAAAAGCCATTTTAAAAATGTGTTTACTGACATGTTTTATGAAGGAAGTAAAATGAGCCAAAATTAGGAAGAATATTAAGGTAATATATATTCTCACTCTATACTGGGATCATTTGAAGTAATGCATATTGCCTGCTGCTCTTAAAAAAATAAACAAATATCTTGTGTGAGATGTTTGAGGTGTGTGTTCAGGTTGAAAGTGACTCAGCTTTTACCAAACCAAATCTGAGCCTAATATCTGCAAAAAGGTCAGATTTACATTCATTTTTTTTGTGTTTGCCAAGGTTGATTAGCTGTGGCCATCTTCAATGAATTTATGTCTAAAAGTGAATCAGTTGTAGAACAAAACACATCATTTATTTATTGAGGGTTTCATTAAAGTCTGCTAAGTGATTCCTAAGATATTTTGCTAACACAGACATGATTGACTTCAACAGTTAATGCCAAAGATTTTAATAAAAATCTTGCATGAACAGTTAGCCTTCAGAGTATGTGTTGAGGGTGCCTCTCAACTACTGCCACACTTAATTCTAGGTTAATAATTGTAAAATGAACGGAGTTGCAGCTATTTTTGTGTTTAGTAAATTATATCAGATGTGTCAGTCATTTTAAATAGAGGTGAGTCCAAAAGTTAATCAGTTGTAGATGTCCATCCCTTAATCGCTTCCTGAAAGTTTCATTAAAATCAATTCAGTGGTCCATGAGATATTTTGCTAACAGACACACACATTCACACATAAACAAAATAACTACCCTACCACTCATTTTCATGGCCTGAGGAGATAAATAACGTCAATTATTTCCTTTATTGAGTTAATTTAGTTTGTGTGTGTGTGTTTTGTGTTTCAGGAAGTTGTTCCCAAGTAAGATGTCAACATCTCTCAATATGACCGACCTTCCTCCTAAAGTCTCTTACTGCTTCAGTGAAGGCAGTGCGGTCAGATACCTCTTTTCTTTTCTTACATTGACACAGAGCCAAGTTAACGTCTTTAATTGTTTGTTTGTTTGTTTGCGTTCAGGTGCTTAACGGCATGTCCTTGTCCGGCCTCGAGACTTTTGTCAGGGAGCAGGAATGTGGGCTGACTGTGGCAGGAAGAGCCACGCGGAGCAGCGAGACACAGGACAAAGACAGGACAGTGCTGGGCAGATCTCACGGGACAGGTTGTTGGTGGTCTCACACCCTCTGTGGCCCCTGAAGCCCCGTAGACGCAACCTGCAGTGACTTAGCATCACCACTTAGGTGCAGCAGCGCACCACAGCCACAGCCTAGCTCCTCTCTGTGTTCAGTCCATAAGGTTTGAGCAGTATTTTTAAATATTAGTGTGTTTTTTTTGTGCTTATTGCAGACACAGCTGTGGCAGATGCTGCTCTGAACATTCTGTGTCTGCTGATGAAAGATCAGTGGAGCTGGCTGTGCACAGAGAACATACAGAAGGCCATCCGGCTGCTCTTTGGCACCTTTATTGAGAGGTAGGAAGTTTACATCAATGTACATTTAAGAGAAATAAATTGGAAAAAAAAATGCAAACAAACATTTAATACGGCTTATTTATTGTTAACAATCAAGCCGCAGCATAGGCAGTCGTGTTAAATTAGTTAAATAAATACAGAACTGTGCAAAAGTCTTGAGTCATCGATCATTGCCGGACTTGTTTTTTGCAATCTTTTGAAGAAATCTCAATCATTGAGTAATCAGGCTTTCTGGAAGTTTTTCCGACTTTATCTTTGATTTTTTGGCTTCTTTTCGCTCATTTTCCATCCAGTTTTCCAGTTTTGGACCATTTGTCAAAAGAATTATTAACCCTCACTCATGAACCATTCAGGCACGCAAAAAAAGAGAGGAACCAGTGTTGTGTCGATACTCAACTTAAAAAAGTTACTAAATATTTGTTACAAAATCCTTGACACAAAGGCACACTTTGTGGCCTTCTTTTTATTGAATCTAAGCACTTAAAAACATTCAAAAAGCTTGAAAAATTAAATAAAAACTACATATGAGCAAAAATGAGTTGTGTTTGCACAGCACTGTATTAAATGGTTAAAATCTGGGCAGATAGCTCAGCTGCTGCCACTACAAACACAGGTTTTCAGATGCATTTTTCCAGCTAAAGATGTTGCAGTCATTTATTATTTCTTTCTTCAACTCGACATCCAGATGTTGGAAACTTTTTGAGCACAAGGGGAAGTTACAGAAGTAGCTTCACTCTTTTTAAATAATAAAAAAAAAGATCTGTATTGGGGAATTTGTTTTCTCTTATCTCTGTCTTTACCCTGACTTGGCTCCAGATGGTTGGATGTGGGTGCTGCCCACCTGACCAGCGCTGCATGCTGGGTGATTTACCTCCAGGTGCTGCAGGAAGCCGTGTGGCCCGGCGGCACGCTGCCCGCTCAGCCTCGGCCCGAGCGCAGCGCAGCGGAGAAGGAGGAAACCAAGGAGCGATGTTTGGACTGCCTGATGACGCTGCTGCCCGGTACCAAACGTGTTCTGCAGGTAGAGCTGGAGATGTTGGGATGAGCATGCCATCTGAGGGTGTTTTGTTTGTGTGTTTGTTTGTGTGTGTGCACAGAGCTGATTGCTGATATGTTAGGCAATGAGAAGTACAGGCTGAGCTTGGAGACCATGATGGAGTCTCTGCAGGACCATCAAATCAACAAGTGGGTACAAAACCGTGTCTAATCAGCTCCTGCATCTGTATCTGTGTTTCTCTGGATACCTTTGCCTTATTTGTGTGTTTTTTTAGACATTTGATTTATTGCATCTGTGACCTTCTGCTGGAGTTTCTGATCCCTGAGTCATGTGACGAGGCCTTCCAGAAGTCTCTGCTGCAGAGCCTGGCTAAAGATGCAGAGAGTCCTCACATGTGATCAACACAGGTGAAAACAGGAGGATGCTCATAAATGTTAATGTCAAATACATACATGCTAATGGAACAGTAGCTAACACCTCTGTATGTAAAACATATTTAATTTAATTCAATTCAGTTTATTTATCGAGCACCATGTCACAACAAACGACACCTCAGGGCACTGCATAAAGACCATTCGATCTAAGGAAACAAGGAGATTGTATTGAATTACTTCACTAAGGTCTGTCATCCTGAGCAGCACACTGGTGACAGTGGGAAGGAAAACTCCCTTTTAACAGGAAGAAACCGCCAGCAGAACCAGGCACAGGACAGGTGGCCCGCTGGGTTTGAGAGGACAAGCAAGAGACACAAACACAGAAGGACTTGGCCAGGACAATAAATAAATAAATAAATAAATAAATAAATAAATAAATAAATAAATAAATAAATAAATCACATGTAATTGATATAAATAATTGTAGAAAAAAGTGACTAAAGACAGCAGCAGAACTAAGAAATAACTATGGAATAACTCAGGAAACATAAGCCTAACTATAGGATTTATGACAAAGGTCTTTAAATTCTATCATGAATGGAGAGAAGGTCAAAGTGGAGACATTTAGCTCCAGACTTTGTGATTTGCTGGGAAGTTTGAGATCAATTCATCTGTTAATGAAAAACCCTAAACAAAAGTCTCTTATCAGGATGCTTGTTAGTCAGATTTTGTACATTTCAGGACTGTGAAGAGTAGGACTGTGACAACATTATGAGTGCTTTCAGTTTGAAAGCTTTCCAAATGTCCTGTGATCTTGCAGGTTCTCTTGGGTCGTGGAGCATATACCTTTAGCTTCTGCTGAATTAAGTGATTCTGACTGGATGAATCTCGTCTTTACAGAAAACATTTTCTGTCTCGCTTCATGAAGTTTTCTTTGAGTAAATTATAAAGTTATCATGTTGATTTATCTTTGAGTTACTGTTTTTATTTTTTGTCTCAGCATGTGTGTGTTTAATAAAGAGCTCTGATTCAGTATGAGCCAAAATAAAATAGTACTGATCAAGGCCTAATTTCTGGTGGGATTTTTGATAACATACTGTATTACCACAAAGGTCTCTGTCCTAAACAGATCTCTGTGTTTCTATTTTACTTCTCTGAGTCTAACAGATGAATAATCATTTCTTCTTTTAGGTTTGAAATGCATCACTTTTAAAAATTCTTTTGGATTAAAAATTGATGATGGTTTAAATGATGCATCAGAGCAATAAGTGCAACTTTGATCTTTTTATCTGAAGTTTGATTTAAACATTTTGCACAGCGTCTTTACTGCAAACTGACTTTATATGAATCAATAATTAACGCAGTGATAAAAAGACTATACGTGTGAAAAGGAACCACTTGATCTTATTTAAGAAGCCTGGCTGATGTTTAATTATAAAAATATGTGCAGGCAGCAGATTTCCTTCATTTCTTTGATCGTGTAGCGTACTAATTGCTCTACAGTCATTTTCTTTGATGGTTCTCAGATTCAACTCTTTGATTTATGAAACTGAAACTTCTTTTTATATTTGAGGAGAAGTATCTGTGAACTGTTTCCATCTGTGATAGAATCTGTGATCTGCCTGACAGCCCCCACAATTCCTTTTATCTTCAGAACAACACAGTCGTCACGATTCAGACGAACGTTTTCATTTCAAACAATACAAGATTGATTCCTGATTATTTATTTACTCAGGGCTCAGCTCGCCTGTGCTGAACTGCAGCTGTCAGAAGAAAAATCAGTATATGAGACGAACATGTGCATCATAATCACACACATTTCACAGATACGGCAAAGTATAAGTACAAAAATTGTAGATACAAAATGAATATAAAATTACAAAATGAATATAAAGAAATAGCAAAAAACAGCAAATAAGAATAGATGTAAATTTAGCTGTGTATTCAAATCAAAAATTTAAGTGAGGACATGAGTTTTACAGTAATTAGAGGGTTTGTTGTTTAAGATTTCCATTTATTTTATCCAGAATTTAGAGTTTTGTTTATTTTGAACTGTAAAAAATAAGCAGGTTCTGTTGTATTAAAGCCATAACTTGAGATAGTTAAGCAACCAAAAGCTTCAAATTCTATCTAAGTTAGTCTAAAGTATACATTACTGAATTTGTGAATCTCAGTGATGACCGATTTTATGCACAAAGTAGAAATCTGCATGGCAAGGATAATAAAATTACACTTGTTTGTCCTGGGATGTAGACTTTCACACGGGCTCGTGTCAAATGTCAGAGTGTAGATCCACCCTTCAGCCTCAGCAGAAACACTTTATGAACTGGATCTGAGGAAGGTTTAGCACATCTCACTTCCTTTCTCATGAGGTCACAGGCTGATTCTGGCCAACGTCCACCTCCTGTCTCATGCATTGGGACTTCCCTGGCAGCAAGAAGAGACAAAAGGCTCCCGATGCAGTAAGGGTGGCTGCTCACATTTTAAACTGAGCGACTGTGAACAAATCAAATACCTGGGAGAGGTCACAACAAAAACAAAACATTTTTGTTGACTCGATTTTCTAGATTTTTTTAAGGCTAATATGTAGATTTCACAAACCTGATAAAAGAAAATTTAGTTGGTGAAAACAGATTGTAGTTTCCAATTACATATTTTATTCAAGACCTATTTCTTGTAAAACCATCACAAAGGATGTATACTAACACTAATGAACACCAAGCAGAAAGCAGCTGCATTTCTGTGCTTAGAACATCCTCTGGTTCCCCTATTTGAAAAGAAGAACCACCATAATCTGTCAGGCCAGAGGCACTGCCCCCAAAGTTCACCTGATGTTGCAAAGATGTGTCAATCAAGACAGCCCTGTGACATCCAGAGCCTCGAGGAGCTCAGAGCCCTGACACTGCCTCAGCAACCTCAGCCCTGATCATGGACAGACCAACCCCTAATTCCACTGATTCAGCTTCTTCCATGGAAGATGTGCCGGTGGGATTGAGTAGATCCAAGAAATATTTCTTCCACCGCCTGATGACATCAATGGTTGAGGTCAGCAGCACCCTACCTCCATTATAAATTTTGTTTTCCCTCACCTCAGCTGCCTAATAGTGTACCAGAATCTCCTTGGAGCAAATCAAGAGTCTTTGCCCAAGGCCTCATCGAACTCCTCCCACATCCAAGCTTTTGCTCAAACACATCTAAGTCTGCAGCCTGCTCAACCTGCAGATACCCCTCAGCTTCTTCAGCATTTTGAAGGCCTTGTTCATCAGGGGGTGTCCAACACAGCAAGCACTGACAACTTCTCAGCTGCAGTTCAAAGTAGCCACTCGACAATGGCCCAACTCTACCCATCCCAGTCAGTCAGGCCTTATTCTACCACGACCCTGGTTGTGTTTGCATTGAGTAAAGAGCCGCCTATGTGGGCGGGATCATGATAATAAACATGTGTGAATCTTATTTTTGTTTTATTTGCGATACAACGAAAATGGATTATACCAAACTCAAAGAATAAGTACAGAAGACTGTATTGGACCGTCCAGCAGTATCACGTTTGGGACAAGATGGCAGAACGACAGAGAATGGTAAGTTAACGGTAGCTGATAACTTGTTAGCTAGCTTGATACTGTTGCTGTGTTGTTAAACTTGTGTAAAAAAATTAAACGTTACAGTTGCTCCAAAACGATTTACCTAAAGTTACCCTCATCTGTGTGACGTGACCCCAGCCTAGTCCAGGTAGAACCACGGGTCTAAGGGTTCTAGAAATTGGGGTGGAACTGGACTGTAAGGTGCTGACCCAGGCCGGACCTTGCAGTACAAAAAGACCTTCTGATGTTTGAGTTGAAGATCCTTCAGAGTGGTTTCTCCACCATGTGTTCCCAGCAAACCCTTACTGGACGTTTGGGTCTACCAAGTCTGTTCAGCATCTTCCCCCACCATCAGACCCACCTCACCACTAGATGCTGATCTGTTGACAGCTCAGCTCCTCTCTTCAACCCAGTGTCCAAAACATACTCTTAAAAATGCTGATTATAAATACATGAATGCTACTGACTGAGTCATATTTGCAGGACATGTCTCTGATAAATATTTCTTCCAGTTTTATTGAAAAAAAGTAATTGGCCAACATCTTCAGATCACATGTGCAGCAAGCCTGACTTGTGTAAAATATGTGTCACGGTGTTGCACATCAGTGGAACGTATCCAACAGGATGCTGCTTTAATTATGAGTCCCCAGACATCTGTGAACAACATGGTAATGATATTAAAGTGCTGTCCTCATAATGTCTCATAATGCCAAGCAGCACGTGTGGATTTTATGAGAGTAATATCTGGGAAGTCAGCTGTAGGTGAACTGCAGTGAGTCAAACCACAGCTCAGACAGTTTTTCATTAACTTAATGAAGTTTGATGAAGATGACGCTGTTTGTAGATGAGCAGGCTCACAAATATACAGATCACTCAAAGTAGGAGGTTGTTCATGAGCTGAAATACTTTACAGTTAGATAACAAAAACATTGACAAAACAACAACAGTCCGTCTTATCATGTTTTGTTCGACCAGAACTTGAGTTCGTAATCCAAACAAAAGGAGCAGATAAATAGAGAAACTCTGCAGTGTGCAGGTTCACGAGTCCTCTCATAAAATAAAAAAACCCCTGACACATCAAGTTTGGCAGCGCTGAAAAAGACGACCGCGGCTGTTCTTAATGCCACAGTTTGGGACTCTGAGTCAAACCATCAGTCAGTCTCAGCTCTGGCAGTGGTCGTGATCTCTCACTCAAGATTTATTTTAATGTTTATCAGGACTTTCTGCTGGGTCATCATGAGGAATTTAAATTGCTCGTCTCTTTGTTGGTGAAAACCCACTACTCTGAATCTTTTTAGGACCTTGTGTTTGCATTGTATTAAATTAATTTAGCTTCCAAGTATTTTAACTTAAACCATCTGTGCAGAAAGACCTTGCACAGAGGCACTGTGGGCAAATTTAACAGTTTTTGGTATTTAACCATCAGAACTAATTCCACTGGATATATCCCTGTCAAATTTAAAGTGAACAAAAAGTTTGACAAACACAGGTAGAGTATCATACACTGCCAGGGGAATGTTTGTTAAAGTTGCAACTCAAAAACTAAAATTTCGTAACAGATTGTGCAATAACTATTTGCCTCAATGGTTTCCATGTGACAAAAATCAATAAACCAATCATCAAGTCATTATTCAGAAATGTTATTGAAGCAATGGATGATGGGAGTGTTAAACTTTCAACCTTCTAGCAGCAAATCACACTGTAGTGCTAACACTAAAACTGAACTTGGATCTAAAAGTTGAAGATGCAAAGGATGAGCGCCCCCGGTGGCTGCAATACAACTTACAAGTGTATGAACTCATCCATGTAAACAAATGTGTGTATTTTTATGTATTTTATTAAATAGTACACTGTAACTGACAGTGTAACAATCAATTAGTGAGTTAGGAGGGTGTGCAAACGAGAATTTTTTATATTGTTAGTACAGCTCATATCCTGGGTAAGCAGATACTGATAATTACAAATTAAGGGTGTGGACATTTCTCCTTTTTGTATCAAAAAAAAACAAAACAACAAAACAAAACAAATAAATAAATAAAACCGTGAGACTTAAGTATCGAACTGAACCGAATCGTGAATTTTCTGTGTCGTTGCACCCCTAATTATTACATATGATGGGGAAGTTTGCGAACTCTTCAAAACATTAATGACACGACTTTATAAGAAAAAGACAAATATATATTTTTTAATTAGTTACAGAATAATAAAACTAAAAACCTAACTGCAGTTTGATACTGGCTCCTTCAATAAAAAGAGAACCAAGTTTTTCAGACTATAAGATATTTTTTATTTAGCATTCAATGCCAGTTTTTTGCCTCACATCTGGTTTGAGTTTTTATTTGCCATCATGCTGATAATTCTGGTCAGTGTCTTTGTTTCATTGTTT